TTTTTTTTTTTTTTTTTTTTTTTTTTTTTTTTTTTTTTTTTTTTTTTTTTTTTTTTTTTTTTTTTTTTGAGAAAAGGAAGAAAAAATACATAACAAAAGCTTTTTAATAAATTTTATGTATAATGATTAATTACCAAATCTAGAATAACTCAAAAAAAAAAATTAATTACTATTTAATTCTTTTAGATTAAAAATATAATCACACATTAATTATTAAACTATTGCTCAGTTTCGTTATTAATTATGATAATTATGGAAGAGAGAAATTAAAATATTAAAAAAAAAAACTAAACCTTTAGTTTAATGCCTATATAATCCAACGACTGAGAATCAATACGATGAGCGGACAGTAATACGGGTTCACAATAAGAACTCGAACACCAGCTATTTCTGAATAATTCCCCTTCAAACCAAAAGCTAACCTACGAACCGAACGCCGGTTTAATTAGTTAAGTTATACCAAACCGGGTTTGCTGGTTAGACACAGTTCTGGAAGAAAGGTGGAGTATATGAAAAAAAAAAAAAAAAGTAAAAGTAGGGTAGAGAATATTTTAATATTATATATTTAATTCTCATACTAAAAAACCCTTTTTTTATGTGAGAGTAAATTACCAAAACGAACATTCGTGTTTTCCAAGCAATGATTCAGACATCCAACCGTCCTTTAAAATGATGATCCCGTGATTAGAATGATGTGCAACGATCTAACGGTTGACAATTGAGTCTAGTATAGATCTGCTAACATTACGTCGAAACGGTGGCGCCGTGGAAATAATGATAAACAAGGGGTAGCTTGCAGAATTGGTAATTAATTGATAAACAAGGGGTAGCTTGCAGAATTGTAATTCATCCTTATTGTTACATCAGCCCCTAAACCTCACCATACTCGCCTCGGTTTTTCGCTGCGTTTCTTCGTCTCCATTCTGTGGGTTTTCTGGATCTTTGATTATATTCTTATTCCGGATTTGAATTTGTGTCCCAGAGGGAGGGTTTTGGAGTTTTGAGTTCCTTCGATCATCTGTTGGCTTAAGAGGTATGGATTTTCAAACGCTGGTTGACTTTGATGTAATCGGAATAATCTAGATCGCTTTTGTTTGGTTGTGAAGAAATTTTGGATTTCTTAGCATTTTTTTTCTTGGTTTCTCGTCTTCTTTGATTACTCTGATTTATGGGTGTTTTCGTTTTGTTCTGTTTGATGTTTCTGCGATTCTGTGCAAGTTATGATGCTGGTTGGACTGGGTCGAGTTATGATTTTTTCTAGGAAATTTACTGGGTGTACTCTTGCTTGACGAGTTCTGGGTTTTCTTACTGTAACTGGATCGATTTTTATTGGGTTTTTTTTTTTTTTTTTTGATAAATTTAGGGTTTCAAGCATGGAAAGGGGAATTGATTACAGATAAGTTTGATTTTAGTCATGATTTTTGTGTCTTTTTGTTTTTCTAAAATTACAGCGAATTTGGTAAACTATGGGTTCGGAACAGAACGATGGCACAAGCTACCAGCCATCGGAGCCGAAGATCTGCGCGAACAACTGCGGTTTCTTTGGTTCTGCCGGTACTGAGAATCTCTGCTCTAAGTGCTACAGAGACTCTCGAATCGAAGCAGAGCAAGCGGCTTCGGCAAAAGCAGCGATGGAGAAATCCCTTCAGTCGAAAATCTTAAAGCCGTCTGAAGGTAATTCTCCGGTCGTTTTCACCGAATCACCGGTGGAATTAGCTTCATCGACATCGTCCATTGGAATTCCCCTCAGCAGTTCCAACAAATCGCCGTTGCCGGATGTTCCTAACCGGTGCCGGAGCTGCAATAAGAAGGTGGGATTGATGGGGTTCAGGTGCAAGTGCGAGAGAACATTCTGTGGGATTCATCGGTACCCAGAGAAACACGACTGTTGTTACGACTTCAAAAGTATTGGGCGGGAGGAGATCGCCATGGCCAATCCTGTGGTGAAGGCCGACAAGGTCGAAAGGTTCTGAGTAGGGATTTGGGTATGAAGTGGGTAAATTCTTAGTGGGTTTGTTGCTATGATTCATCATCTGGGTTCTATTTGGCGTCTGTTTGTCTGGGTTGGTTGGGTGGAAGCTCTTTGCTTGGTTTGCTGGAAACTTAGCTACTATGATCAATAATATGCAGTTTGATTCCTTGCGATTCTGGTTTCGTTTTCGTTTTGAGTAACGTTTTTCTCTAGTGTTTGTAGAGATTAGGCGGTGTTCTTATGAATATGAAGATGAACACGATCAAGCATTCTTCAGTGTTCTTCGATCAATCTTGAATTTCGGAGCGATGGGCTTTCGGAAAGTTGAGACTTTCTCACTTTGGAAGTGTTGTCTTAGTTTTAACGAGTGCTCGTAGTCGTTTTGGCACGATCCAAGTATTCGTGGAGACTTTTCCATTTTAATTGAAAAATAATTACAGAAGGAGATTGAAATAAGTGGTCGAGATAGAGCTGTAGAAGTGTGATATAGAATTATATGGGTAATAGTGATTAGAATGAACGATTCATAAATATAAATCCCAAATCAAAAAATTCTATGGTTAAAAAATAATAGATAATATAATCTCGTTTTGTTATTTTTTCTTTTATTAGAAAGTTATAATAATAATAAACCTTTATTTTGTTTTGCCTTTTCTTTTTTTATCTAGTCTTATATTTGATCGACCCAAATTTATAAATCTAATAAAATTGAAATGTTCGCGGGCGAATATTTCCTCTTTTTATATGTGTTTCGGTTCTCGGGTTAGTTAGCCCATGAACCGACTTCTCATAATAAATGGATTGGTCTTGGGTTCCTTACGCCATCCTACCCAATGAATTATTAGGATTCCTTTTCAATAGAATATTATGTATTCACGGGTTCCCTCGTTCCCATCGCCTCTCGATTAATGGTTAGGTCTTTATTCTATAATGAAGTGTGATACCCCGAGTAAAGAAAAGGTATATGTACGAATTGGACCATATTTAAATGAGACTGATAACAAGTTGTATATACCAATATGATGCATCTTTTTTGGTGGCTCAATCATAAAAACTCTAAAATTAAGTGTGTAGATTTTCCCACAAAGCACGAAAAATTAATTATATTCAATCAGGCCTATATTCAATGACATGTCAAACCCTTTATTTGTTTTCATGTTGTATTGTTTTACGTATTTTTTGTTTGTACTATTGTCTGGGTCTACTAGACCTAAATTGCCTCAACATATACTATAAGGGAGCTAAGTAGTTATCGAACCTCTCTCAGCCAAGTATTGTATTTTCTCTTGTCCATCTGTTTTCAAAGCAATTGACTTTTACAATACTTAATTTCCACTTGTTTTCTACATTTCCCTCAACTACGTTTTTATAATTTTTTTCTATCAAAACGTGGCTCAAGACTCGCCATGCGTTAGAATTAATAGCAAAGTTCGATTTTTACATGACTAGCTTGTTCGCTGAATTAGAACAAGCATCGTACAATCATCAAGTTCATTGGTTCGAAAGTGTGATTATGACCCCTAACACTAGGTTAGGTTGGAATCTCCGAATTTTCTTGTTTTTTTCTTTCAGAGATAAATAAATATATTATTTTTACTTTTAAGTACATTATAAATATAATATAAGCTCTTTTTTTCTATATTTAATTTTAAAAAATAAAAGAAATGACTACCACAAGTGTTTATGTTTTTTGAATAGAGAGTAACTAACAAAAGCAAGATTTTCTTTAATTAAAAATAAAAACAAAAATAAAAAAACGACAATATTACTAAACAAATCCTTATAAATCTTTCAACATTCAAACTTCTATCAACAATAAAGGCATCACCATAAAAAGCATACCTCAATAAAGTCTCTATGCTTTCCCTTTCACTTCACCCTTTCTTTCTTTTATGTTAGGACGGTAATTCTTTAATATCTCATTCATATCTATCTTTTAAGCCAAGTAAAGAAGACATATCTTATTTTTATGAGCGTACATCGGTCGGATCGAGTCGGATTGAATTTAATTTTTATTGAACCAACGTGCAATTTTGGAATAGTTGGGTTAGTGATCTAAATCTTATTCGAGTCATTCGGATCACCAACCAACCATTTATTTTGAGTTGGGTTAGTTCGTGATCTTAAGTTCAAGTAGTTGAGGACTCGGTTCAAGTATTAAGGATACACAAGGCGTGAAGTACATGAAGATGAAGTTTGTTAAAGGGATGAGAGTCTAGGTCGAGTAAAGTGAAAGGATATAAATGATAAATGGCGCAGGGCCACTTGGTTTAGTGGATATCAGGCAGGTACATGCTTAAGGTAAGCAAATTGGTGGAGCAGAAGAAAAGGGTCTGGCTGTGGCTGTGGCTGTGGCTATGGCTGGTCATATATCTTTTTGAAAGCCATTGTATGTTCAAAGAATCTAATGCCAATAAAATTTGACAGAAGTCGGACTTGGTTGTACTTAAAGAGTGTGGAAACCTCTCTGTAACATATGCATTTTAAAAATTTGGAGAGAAACTCTAAAGAGAATAATATATGCTACCTGTGGTCTTGAACTTTTACAATATGGTATCAAAGCCAGATACTGGGTGGTGTGCCAGCGAGGAAGCTAAATCCTGAATGGGAGTGGACATAGTGTAGTGTGCGAGCGAGGACGCTGAGCCCGAAAGTGGGGTGTGCCGGTGAAGGTATTGGACCCCGAAGGGGGTGGTGAGATCTCACATTAGTTGGAGAGAGGAACGAAACATTTCTTATAAGGGTCTTTTTGTTAGATGAAAGTGTCCCACATTAGTTAATTTAGGGAATGGTCATGGGTTTATAACCTAAGAATACACTCTACATTGGTATGAGACATTTTGGGGAAGCCCAAAGCAAAGCCATGAGAGCTTATGCTCAAAGTGGACAATATCATACTATTGTGGAGGATGACCCTCAACTCACACTATAATTAATCACCCTCAAGAAGCTACAATAAATGACTACCTTGACTTCTAAGCACCAAAACAACGGTCACATAGAATTACATAATGAATATTTCCGATAGAAATCTCCGGAATTTACAACTTCTTCCTCCTTCAAAATACTACACAATCCCTATATTATCAATTCACACGAAACTCAACAGAAATACAAATGTATTAAAAGAAACCATGATAGGATCGTGATGCTATGAACATTTAGTATCGAACAATACATCGAGTGAGCAGTTATCATATTTTACGACTACAAGATGTTTTTTTTCATAAAATTTGCCCACTTAATCATTTGATCAACATTGTACCTTAAATTCAACAAAAAGATTAAGGCTATTTCCTTGTTGTTTGTCCTCTTGTCCCTATGGCTTTAGAATTATTGGTGTGCCTATGGCTTTAGAATTATTGGTGTGCAATGACACACCCATCAAAGTCAAACTTGGGCAAGAAAAGTACTTCAAGAAAGATTTTGAGGGACCTTTCAAGTGTTTGTAAAGCCCTTTTGATTAAATGTCGTATAATTGAGATCAGCCTTATTTAAATGCCGTCTCGATTTATTTATGTACTACTTCTTTTATTTAAACATCACATACGTACTATTCTTAAGATTGAATGCTTAAATTTTTATCTTAAAAAATAATATCATAATTTAGAGGCTAACGTGTCGAATTAATATTAAATAGTAATTATTTTAATCTTTATATCTTTTATGTTATGAAATTTTTAAAAAAAAAAAATCCTGTAAGGTCAAAGTGGTAAATTCGGATGCCCATGATGAGATGATGATGGTTTTAATGGGTTAATGCGACGTGATTGGTTTTGTTCGTTAATACTCTCACGAGACGGAACCCGTTATTAGTTAATATGAAGGCTGAGGAAAAACGGCGTCGTGTTGGTGCACCCGATCCATTCCGAGCTTTCTTCTTCAATTGCGTCTGGTTTACCCACCTTTTCTTGCTCGTCCTGTCTCAGAGATTGAATGAATTTGGAGAGGGAAGCAAAAAAGGGTATTGGATTTGCATTTGACTGAATCTCATCCATCCCCCACACGGCGAAGGTCCACTTCCACTTCTACTGCTTGTTCTTGCAGCTCCCACGCTTCGTTTACAGCATTTTGGGGCTCTTCTTTTGGGTCTCATTGTTCTTTTCTCTCCCTCTCTGTCTCTCTGAAAGCAAAAATACGCTATTCTTCAATGATCTTCTAAACCCATTTTCCCAAATCTTCTGTGCCCTCTTGCAATGGCCGCTTCTGGGGGTACTAGTTATAGAAATGGCGCCAATTCCAGAAACTCTCTTAAGTTCGATAAGCCCTTTTCTCCTAATTCCAACCCCAATTCTTCTCTTAAGTCAAAGTCTCTTCCCAATTCTACTCTGGGACGCAGTAGCCCTGCATCTCTTGGAGCTGCCAAGAATGACGGTGGAGGTTTGTTCTTTGCTTTTCTGCGGCTTCTTTTTCTGTTTTTTGTCTTGTTTTTTTTAGATGGTTTATGGAGGTTTTGAGTTTAGATATGTCCTTGTTCTATGATTGGTTGGAGAGGAGAACTAAATATTTCTTATAAGAGTGTTGAAACTTCTCCCTAAAATAGGCGTTTTAAAACTTTGAGGGAAAGCCCAAATATGACAACATCTGCTAGTGATGGGCTTGAGGTACTAAGCAGTGTACTAGCGAGGGCGTTGGACCCCAAGGGGGTGGATTGTGAGATCCCACGTTGGTTGGAGGGGAGAACGAAACAGTTCTTATAAGATTGTGGAAACCTCTCCTTAGAACCTGCGTTTTAAAACCGGGAGGGCAGATCAGAGTGGGTTGGTGCATCCAAGTGATTTGAAATTGAGGATATTGAAAAAGGGTGATTTTGTGTTGATTTCTTGCATTGAAAAGCAAGAACTTCGTTTTTGAACAAGAAATAGTGTTATTCAAGCCTTTCAATTCATAAGTAGGATGGAACAAAGGATTCTGCTTGGAGCAGATAAGAACCATTTTAACATGTCATGTTTTTTCTCAATAACATTAGTTAGCTTTCTATGAAAATCCTGAAGTGGATTTATAGTCAAGAAGGGTCAGTTTAATGATATGGTCTTCCTTTTTCACACATTGTTCAGCTCTACATAGTTCTAAGTTCATGGTTTTTTGATAAATAATGGATTGAGTGCAGTTCCTGGAAGAGTTCGAGTGGCTGTTAGATTGCGACCACGCAATTCAGAAGAATTGATAGCCGATGCTGATTTTGCTGATTGCGTAGAATTACAGCCAGAGGTACAATGAACCCAATATTACACTAATAAACACCATCTTTACCATTATTATAGTCTTAATGGAATCCATCAGAAAATCACAATCCATTTCAGCTTAAAAGGTTGAAACTCCTGAAGAACAACTGGGATTCAGATACGTATGAGTTTGATGAAGTGCTAACTGAGTTTGCTTCTCAAAAACGTGTTTATGAAGCCGTGGTGAAACCTGTTGTGGAGGTATGTTTGCATTAAATTTTCAGTCGACATCATAATCTTTGTGCAACTCCCTTTGAGTGGCCGGCCATTTTTCTTGTCCTTAGAGTGTATTGGATGGCTACAATGGAACAATTATGGCATATGGACAGACTGGTACTGGTAAAACGTATACTCTTGGACGACTTGGAGAGGAAGACACGGCTGATCGTGGAATAATGGTGCGTGCTATGGAGGACATCTTGGCTGAAGTTTCTTTGGAGATGGATTCTGTCTCGGTATCCTACCTGCAGCTTTATATGGAGAGCATACAGGACCTTCTTGACCCTGCAAATGATAACATTTCCATTGTTGAAGATCCTAAAACGGGAGATGTTTCGTTACCTGGGGCTAGCCTTGTAGAAATTAGACACCAGGAGAGCTTTGTGGAACTACTAAGATTGGGGGAAGCTCATCGTTTTGCTGCGAATACGAAACTAAACACCGAATCTTCTCGTAGTCATGCAATTCTCATGGTACTTTGAGGTCTTTAAATCTCTCAAAAACTGCTAGTAGTTTATGGAAATTTGATGTTTACTTCTTGTTGAAGGTACATGTAAAGCGGTCTTTGAAGGGAAGGGATTCAACTCTGGGAAGTGATATTGGTGGGCATTCTCATTTGGTTAAGACCTTGAAAGCTCCTATTGTTCGGAAGGGAAAGTTAGTGGTGGTGGATCTTGCTGGTTCTGAGCGCATTGACAAGTCAGGTGTGTATATGCTCTATGCAGCTGTGGTCTAAGTACATTTAGATTCTCCACTTTGAGCATGAAGTCTCATTGCTTTGCTTTGGGCATTTTCAAAAGGTCTCTTACTAATGGACATATATTCATTACTTATAATCCTATGATCAACCCTTGAATTAGTCGATGTGGGACTCCTCTTCCAACAATTCTCAACAATCCTTCCCTTGAACAAAGTACACCATAGAGCCTCCCCTGAGGCCTATAGAGCCCTCGAACAACCTCCCTTTAATTGAGACTCGACTCCTTCTCTAGAGCCCTCGAATAAAGTACACCTTTTGACACTTGAGTCACTTTTGACTACACTTTCGAGGGTCCAAACCTCTTTGTTCGACATTTGAAGATTCTATTGACATGACTAAGTTAAGGGGATGACTCTAATACCATGTTAGGAATCTCGACTCTTCACAATGGTATGATATTGTCTACTTTAAGTATAAGCTCTCATGGCACTGCTTTGGGCTTCCCCAAAAGACCTCATACCAATGGAGATGAATTCGTTACTTATAAACCCATGATCCAACCCTTTAATTAGTCAACGTGGGACTCCTTCTCCAGCAATCCTCCACAAAAACAAATTTTACAAATGAGTGTCTATTCTTTTCGTGCTTACTTCATTTTAGATTTACATTGTCTCTCAACATTTTCATAAGAAAACTTGCTTTCTCAGTGATATCAATGTGTTTATTGAGGCAGGAAGTGAAGGACATACACTTGAAGAAGCCAAATCCATAAATCTCTCCCTGAGTGCATTAGGGAAATGCATAAATGCACTAGCTGAGAATAGTGCACACGTTCCAGTCAGGGATTCAAAGCTTACAAGATTACTCCGGGATTCATTTGGTGGTAAGATCTGACTTTGTTGTTGTTTTAGGTATATCTTTACAGATTTACAAATTTATAATCTCAAATTATGTTGTCATTATTGTTCAATGTGACTCTTATAGTCTCTTGTGTACGCAAAATCTAGTTTAAAACATCCCTACATAGAAGAAATATTGAAGCAATAATTTCCTTACGGAATCTGTGAATTAGACCAAAATAAAGTAATCCAGCTAGGAGCCAAAATGCCTTACTATTGGCTTAAAAAGAAAGAGTGACTGAGATTTCAAACAAGAAATCCAGCTAGGAGCTAAGATAAGCACGTTAGAATTCACAAAAGACTTTCCAAACAACTTAGCAAATATGATGGTGAAGCATCCAATTAATTTGAAAAATCAATTGAACGGGTAAGGCTAAGATAAGGACATGTTCATAATCCCTATTCAAATTGCTTACTTGACTGATTAAGAGAGTTTGGATAGGATTAAAAAGTTCGTAGATCCTTCCCTTCGTTCCTTTTATCTTGGACATCTTCTTCAATCTGGTGAAGGAGCAAAGCCGAAGTTTAGGTTTTCAGTTTCTTCTTCTTTTCTTACCGTTCAATCTGGTGAAGGATAATTGTCTTGTAGAGTGGAATAGATAGATTCCAAATTTCCAAATTGGGTTTTTTTTTAAGCAGAGCCTGGATACTTCATTTTATTAGTACAACCGAGAAAACCATAAATTATTAACAACAAGTAGATCTACGCAAAGAGAATTAGTAATGTGTCTGGAGAAATTGGTACAAGAAGCCGTGGACACTTCTTGATAATGAAATCCGCAGAAAACCAATGAGGGAGGGCCATAATAAGGTTTACAAGTCATTTTCCGATGTAATTGAAGGCAGCAAGGGAAGATTTCGGAAAACTCTGCTTGGCAAACGGGTCAAGACCTCGTATGTAAAGGGTTTGCAATTTCGTTTCAAAATATCCTTTATGTTAGAGGGTCATGCCTTCAATGCTTCCCTCAATAGATCACCAATCTTGAAATTTATCTTCCTTAAACTTCATATGAAAAGGAGAATCTAAAAGGAAAAAGATCAGCATTCCATATTTACTCATTGGTTTTGAATTCATCAGAAGAGATAGCTAGAATCTGGGTTAAAGATTGGGAAACCGTCCGGATGTAACTACCAATTATCTACCTCTCCCACCAATATAAACATGATCGAGCCGACATTGTCGAGTTGGGATCCCTCCCTCCTTATCACGCTAGCCGGAGAAAAGGGGGAAAGGATAGTAGAGGCAGGATTGGAATCCAGGAGACTTACGAGATTGAGTCCCCACCTCGAGTTCACATGCTGCTGTGGGATGATTTTTACAAAAATATCCCAACCCCTTAACATTACTCCCTGCAAGTGGGACTTCGCCTCTCTAATTGTGTTCCTAGACCAGCTAGAACTTGGTTTGACTCATTGGTTTTGAATTCTAATCATGATATCTGGCCATGCAAAATTTTAACAGGAACAGCTAGAACTTCACTGGTTATTACTATTGGTCCTTCACCTCGCCATCGTGGAGAGACTACAAGCACAATAATGTTTGGCCAACGGGTAGGTTATGGGTGCTTAGTTTTTGACAGGTTAATAACCATTACTCTCAGTGTGATCTATTCCATTTCCAAGATTCTAATTTCTAAAACCTTTTACCCCTCAGGCTATGAAGGTGGAAAATATGGTGAAGATAAAAGAAGAATTTGATTATAAAAGTTTATCGAGAAGATTAGACATTCAATTAGACAAACTGATAGCCGAACATGAAAGACAGAAGAAATCATTTGAGATGGAAATTGAAAGAATTACCAAAGAAGCAGAGGATCGCATATCTGAAGCTGAAAGAAGTCATTCGAATGCACTGGAGGTAATAAGTAAGGGTCCTTTTAGATTAAAAGGCCTTGAATGATATAGGGTCCTTTTAGATTAAACAGTTTCATGTCTTTTCTTGAATCATGTCTTTTCTTGAATGATATAGGGTTCGGTTGAGTGTGCCGATAAGGAAGTTGAGGAGCTAAAGAATTTGGTTAAAAGGGAAACGCTTTTGAGGAAGGCAGCTGAAGAGGAAGTTGACAATCTTAGAACTCAAGTAGCCCAACTGAAGAGATCAGAGGTATGTTTTGGCATGCCCCACCTCTCCCACTCTTTACATAAGCCTTTTAATGATGGCTTTTATGTGCTAGACATCTTGCAATTTAGAAATCTCTAGGCTTTGCAAGTCTCTGGAAGATGAGCAAAATAAGAAAAAGAAACTAGAAGGAGATATAGCTGTTCTACAAACCCAGTTGTTGCAATTGAGCTTTGAAGCTGATGAGGTATGTTTTGGGTTAGTTTTTCTTGATCTTGTTTGTGTAGCCTTGTGTTTTGACATGAGCCTACTTTATTTGCAGACCAGTAGGCGACTGGACAGAGGTGAGCCTGGGAAAGTCCTCGGTTCTATAGATTCTCAAGTGCAACAAGTTAAGCACTCACTGGCTCAGGAGCCTGGAAATGGGGAGAAAGCTTCAGTTGCCAAACTCTTTGAGCAAGGTTTAAGTTGTATTTTGTTTAAGACTCACCGATCTTCATAATAGTATAATATTGTCCACTTTGAACGTAAGCTCTCATAGCTTTGTTTTTTTTTGTTTTCTCAAAAAGTCTCATACTAATGGAGATGTATTTCTTAATTATAAACATATGATCACTCTCTTAATTAGCCAACAATTCTCAACAAGCCTCCCCTCGAACAAAGTACATCATAGAGCCTTCCCTGAAGCCTATAGAGCACTCGAACAGCCTCCCCTTAATTTAGGCTCGACTCCTTTCTCTGGAGCCCTCGAACAAAGTACACATTTTGTTCGACACTTGAGTCACTTTTGACTACACTCTCGAGGGTCCCAACTTCTTTGTTTGACATTTGAGGATTCTATTGACATGATTGAGTTAAGGGCATGGTTCTGATACTATGTTAGAAAGCCACGAATCTCCACAATTGTATGATATTATCCACTTTGAGCATAAGCTCTCATGATTTTGTTTTTTGTTTCCCCAAAATGACTCATACTAATGGAGATGTATTATTTACTTATAAAACTATGATTATTCCCTTAATTAGCCAATTCGGTACTCCCTCCCATCAATTCTATCACTTTATTTCAAGCTGTCCATTAATTCTAAAATATTTTGACAGTGGGACTGCAGAAGATCTTGTCGTTGCTGGAAGCTGAAGATTATGACGTCAGAATTCATGCTGTGAAAGTGGTTGCAAATCTAGCAGCTGAAGGTACCAAAGATCATTACAATGTTCACTACAATCTACATTACTTCTTTGCTGTTCTTTACTGTCGTTTAAAAGATACTCTGACTTGAAATCACAAGGCTTGATTAAAGTCAATATTTGAAGCAGAAATGGTCTGTGGCTGTGATATTCAAAGTTGGGGAAGAAAATAAAACATTTTTTTATAAGGGTGTGGAAATCTCTCCCTCGTAGACGTGTATTAAAATTTTTTAGGGAAACTCCAAAAGGGAAATATCTGCTAACGGTGGGCTTAGGCCGTTACAACTTTTGATTAGGTGCTTCTTGTAGTTCCGGTTTTGCAATGCAGCCTTTTAACTGTCAGCAATGAACAAATGTATTATAGTTCTTACTGTGAAAAGCGTAGTTATATGCTTACCTCAAAATATGTAGAAACAAATCAGCAAAAGATTGTAGAGGCTGGCGGCCTTTCATCCTTGCTGATGCTACTCAGAAACACAGAGGATGAGACGATACACAGAGTTGCTGCTGGGGCAATTGCAAATCTGGCAATGAATGGTCAGTTTGTGTTCCTTGTTGGACCCTTGATTCCACTTGCTTATCTGCTTTTTTAGGCTGAGATTTCGTAGCTCCTAAGTTTTGCCTTGTCTTTCCCATCAGAGACCAACCAAGAGCTTATTATGTCCCAAGGGGGCATTAGCTTACTGTCCATGACGGCTGCCAACGCTGAGGATTCCCAAACCCTTCGTATGGTTGCCGGAGCAATCGCCAATTTGTGCGGCAATGGTATGTGTTGATCTATGCAAATTTATGTTCATCATTTGTTCCTGCTGGTCTAATATTCACAATCCGACATCATACTCTCACTACCAGTTATAATATTATGTTATCCAGATAAGTTACAGAAGAAGTTAAGGGGCGAAGGTGGCATCAAGGCATTGCTTGGTATGGTAAGATGCAGACATCCTGATGTTCTTGCACAAGTTGCCAGAGGAATTGCGAATTTCGCAAAGTGCGAGTCGAGGGCCTCTATACAAGGTAAGCCTTCAATTTGGGGGTCTTTGTTACGAGTCACTACTCTCCAGAATGATATGATATTGTTCACTTTGTGTATAAGCTCTCATGTCTTTGCTTTTGGTTTCTCCAAAAGACGTCACCCCAATAGAGATGTATTTCTTACTTATAAACCCATGAGCATCTCTTTAATTAGCGAATGTGGGACTCCCTCCCAACAATCCTTTCCTCAAACAAACTACACCATAAAGCCTCCCATGAGGCCTATGAACCCTCAAACAGCTTCTCCTTAATCGAGACTCGACTCCTTTCTCTGGAGCCCTCAAGCAAAGCTCGAACAAAGTATACCCTTTGTTCAACACTTGAGTCACTTTTGACTACACGTTCGAGGCTCACAACTTCTTTGTTCGACATTTGAGAATTCTATTGACATGTCTATGTTAAGAGCCCGACTGTAATATCATGTTAGGAATAATGGACTTTCAAAATGGTATAATATTGTCCACTTTGAACATAAGCTCTCATGGCTTTGCTTTCGTTTTCCCCAAAAGACCTCATACCAATGTAGATGTATTCCTTATAAACTCATGACCAACCCCTTAATCAGCCGATGTGGGACTCCCCACCAACAATTCTCAACAGTCTCGATAGCCTAGTTCAATATATAATGTGAACTGATCATGGTTTGGGTTGTTGAAATGAACAGGGAGCAAGGCTGGAAAGTCTTTCTTGATTGAAGATGGAGCACTCCCATGGATTGTACAGAATGCCAACAATGAAGCATCGACGATCAAACGACATATTGAACTGGCACTCTGTCATTTAGCACAACATGGTAACCTCAATCCCTCGATCTCTCTGTCTTGTCTGAATTATGTCGCTTAGCTGAACAAGAAACCTCAAAAAGAAAAAAAAAAACATAAACTTGAAGCAAACCCACGACATTGGTGATAATGCAGAAGTGAACGCAAGGGACATGATGAATGGAGGTGCAGTGTGGGAACTGGTTCGGATATCGCGGGACTGCTCACGGGAAGACATAAGGAGTCTTGCGCATCGAACGTTAATATCCAGCCCCACATTTCAAGCTGAAATGAGACGACTACGAATAGATTATTGATTTGACACAAATATTCTCCTTTATTATCACAATCATTTCTGAAATGGCACCAAACTCAGCTTCCCTAATCATAAACAGCATCATAGAACAAGAAGTCTGCCCAATTCTTGTCATCAAAGTAGTGTAGAGGAACACTCGGGAGCTGGCCTCATCTCTAATTTCAAACTTCAAAGTGTGTAAATTCGTTTGTATATTAAGTAAATAATTTGGAATGGGTTTCAAAAATAGCGTTGTGATTGTATTAACATGAAATAAAATAACAATATGATCGATTGTTCGATTCCACACCTCATATGCATACTAAAATGGCCCAACGTAAGCAATGTTATATGGTCTGTTTCGATTGACTTTCAAAGGGTTAAAATTATTCGTAAGAGCAAAAAAAAAAAAAAAAAAAAGCATTCTAAATCTTTTTTCATTCGATAACCAATTATTTTTTAAGAAATTTTGATTAAAGAGAAATGAAAAGAAAACTAAAAGTGTGGAAATGATGAAATATTAAACAGAAACCAAGAGAATCAATCTCCATAATTTGAGCCGGCAAGGATATAGGAAGTTGTGCTAAGAGTTCTCAAAATCAACCAACACCTATGCCTATCATTTTTTGTTTCTCTACCAACAACTCACTTCCCCAACTATTCAATAACACCAAACCCACTTCATAATTTTAAACCCTAAATCATTCACTTCCCCAATTCTTCTACCCAAAGCTTCCTTTTTTCCATCATGGGTCTTTCACAAACATCGCAAAAATTGTAAATTTTCAAAAAAGATCCAATTTTTTCATGTGGGTAAACTAAATTGGGAGGTGGGTGCATTAAATTTGATCATAAATTTGAGATGTAATCTAATATGATTACCTACAAGATCAAGAAATAACCTGAGAATTAAAGAAACAAACTTGAGACATGGAAAAATAATGGAAAACAAAAACAAACCCAAATTAATTCATCTCCATTTTTTTTTTTTTTTTTTGTGGGTTAGTACGGAGGACGCGAATTTGCCCAATAAGCTGCTTCCGATGGTGGCATTTGAATTGAATTTAGCAGATTCGGAGGCAAACCTTGAAACAACGGCCCATTTCCGTCGCCGACGAGTTGCTGCTGTTGTTGGGGCTGTCCAATTTCATCGGGAGACCCAATTCCGCCGCCGCCCTGCATCGACGGAAGTGGCGGCTGGTCGTCCTCCTCCAACGGGAGCCGTTCATAAGCGGCGTTACTAAACGAGGCAGCCATGATGACGACAGGGCCGGAAGCGATTAAAGTACCCACGACGCTACCGCCGACGACTTGGCCCTGGCCGCCGGCGAGGTAAATGGTCAAGGTGGTAGCGGCAGGAGGAGCTGGAGGAGGGAGGAAAGACCCGGCAAGGGACAAGATCTCGAAACGACCGTGTAAGTTGACAATTGCACCGGGGGATGCGGGTTGGCGGAGAGTGACGTTGGTAACGGTGCCGGTACCGCTCATGATACAAACGCCGCGCTGTCGGCGGCGAGCGAAGGTAGCAACACTGTCGACGATGTCGCAGCCATCGGTGACCTCGATGACATGGGTCCGAAGGGCGTTGGCACTGTCGCGAGTAATGATAATGGGGGGTTTGGGTTTGTTTTTGGATCCAGCAGGTCTGCCTCTAGGGCGACGCGTGATTTCTCCGTCGGGATCTCCACCACTGTTGGGGGCGGAGTTGTTGGGGTGATGGTCGTCGTCGCGATCACGCTTGAGACGGCTGGTGGTGGCGCTATGTTCCTCTTCGGAATTGTTGTTGTTGTGGTTGTTGTTGTTATGGTGAAACGGAGTCTGGAGATGGAAATCTCGAGTGTGGAAGGGAGGAGGAAGGGAGTGGGCATCCATGGAGTTTAGGGTTTAATTTAGAAACTTGAAATAGAAATGGAAGAAACCCCAAATTGGGAGTTGGTACAAAATGCATACAAAGGATCCGAATTGTTGAAGATTTGGAAGAGAAGAAGAAGAAAGGAAAGAGCTTTGGTTTAGGGTTAGATGGGAAATGGGTTGGGATTCGTTAGAGCTGCGTGCTTATGCCTCATGGGACCCTCTCTCTCTCTCCTCACGTTAATTCCTTTTTCTCTCTCTAATCAACCTCTTAATCTCCGGTCCGACTTCCTTACCTCGAGTGTCATATGTGTACCTGCTTCCAGCTTGGTTCGTCTCCGAGCTATTTCTTATTAGGAGAGGGTTCGCTCTAATACCATATGCAACTCCTAATGTCTAAGTTTGTCTCTGAGTCACATCTTTGTTAACTCGAATATCACATGTCTACCAGTTTTTAGCTTGGTTTGTCTCTGAGCCATAGCCTCGTTAACTCGAGTATCACATGTTTACCAGCTTCCAACTTTGTTTGTCTCCAAGCCATATCCTATTAGGATAAGACTCACTCTAATACCATATGTAACGCCTCATGTTTAGGTTCACCTCTAAGCCATTTCCTCGTTGACTCGAATGTCATATCTACCAACTTCTTGTTTAGTTCGTTTTTTAGTCGTATTCTATTAGGAGAGGGCTCGCTCTAATACCATATGTAATGTATGATGCCTAAGTTTGTCGCCAAGTCATATCCATGTTAACGCGAGTGTTATCATGTTTACTAGCTTCCAACTTGGTTTGTCTTCGAACCATGTCCTATTACAAGAGGGCTTGCTCTAATACCATATGTAACGCCTGGTGCCTAAATCTGTCTTCGAGCCATATCTTCATAAACTCGAGTGTCACATGGTTAGTAAGTTTTTGAAGTATTTAAATATTAGGAGGTTAGAGTAAATAATAAATAATTTATGGTCCTTATCCAAAGCAAAAAGTCCTCTTATAAATGGTAAAACTCCACCATTCCGGTTGACACGTAAGTTAAAATTATTTTTTTTACTTTTAATTTTATACATTTTTTATTAAAGGAGAAGAAAAAAAGACCCTCACATGGCTACAATAAGTTACAACACTATCATATTTGAAAGAAAACGACAGAAAACACGTGCATCTAATGTGAAGAACTCAACTGCCACGTGACTGTTCTTCTTAGATATTGTTTTTTCCCAAATTTTTAGTTAAATTATATATATATATATATAGATATATCTAATATCCATGCCTTCAAATTTTAAAATTATAAAAAATAATTAAATTTGGACAATATATCGATTGAACTAACAACTTAGAGATGCTTTGACAGATATAGAAGTAGCTCGCACATGCACCATAAAGCTTTCTTTGAAAAAAAAAACATTAAAATAGCTCGTTTCACAGAATCTTTTAATTGATTAAACGCTTTATTTTATTATTTTTAATCTAACGAGCATTACATTTTTGTTAATATAAACATCACTTGAATAAAAATATCAATTATCATTTTAAAAGTCGATAATTTAAACACGTTAAAAAAAATTAAAATTATAGCTATTTATTATTATTTTTAATGAGACAGACATAACTAAACTGCAGTAGAAAATGATTGTTTAAAAAATAATAATAATTAATGTATTTTCATTTCAATTAATACTCCATCACGGAAATTTAATGCTAGACGAAGTCAAGCCACTGGGTACAGACAATGCTTTAACAGTAATTAAACTATTTTTTAAAAATAATTATTATTAAATAAGTTGGGTCCACATAAACGTTTTGCCACGTGTAATATCCCCCGCTTGTTTCGGGTCTATTTCACGGTAACCGGAATCCCCCACACCAACTTTTCTTTTTCTTTCCTTCTCTTAAAAAAATAGGCGGTTTGTTTTCTTCCTAAATATATTAAATTTATTTGTTTAATTTTCTATCCAATTTTAAAATAAAATATAAATTATAATTTTTATATCCGACCCATTATTAAAAAAAGATTCAAATAACATTATCTATTTTTACCATGCACAAATAAATAAATATAATTATCAGCATGCTCGAAAAAGGTATACTTTTACCAAGTTTTCGAGATAATCTGATTCATTTACCAAGGGATTATTATTTCTAAAATTAAATTTTAATTAATTGCTTAATTTGATAAAATGAAATAATTTAAAGGCAAAGTTGGAATTTAAAGAGAATCTAAATTTTGGTTAAGGAAAGTAAGTAAGTTTTTAAAATATTATTTTGTGTCCCTTAATTCTTTATATTTTTTATTTCTATACCCCAATCATCAAATAATTATTGTTGGTTTCTTTTTTAAAAATAGAAAATTATAATTTTCATAAAATTATAATTGTAAGTCTAATTGTGTGAAATAAATAAATATTTCATATTTAAGAATTTAAAAAATATATTAAAAAAGGGGGGAAATTATGAGGAGAGAGAAAGGGAGGGGGTTTGACCGCATAATCCAGAGTGTTGGGGGAGGTAAAGACGCGTGGGGTGCGCTGACAAACACCAAGCTTATATTAAAATATTAATTTTAATCACTCCCATCCTTTCTTTCTAAATACTCTTTAATACTTTTACAAATTTTTTAATTACTATTTTTATTTTATTTCAATAGATTCTTCCCCTTTAAAAAATATATATATATATATATTTATTGAGTTTTCAAATTTTGAATTTTCCCTAATAATTCTTAAATTTTCTAACAACAAATCATGCCTTGTTTCCTGTGTGCGAGCATGGGTTCATCAGGCGCCTCGCACACTCCCTACATTTAGTTTGTCAAACCAACACACGCTAACGGGCTCTTTGTCATACACCACGATGGAAAAGGTTGTCAATATATCATGGTAAACATAATTTTAATAAGTTATGAGGTTGATATTTTACCTAACTAATTCGAAAATATGGTTACATTCCAACTCAACTCAACTCTCCCTTACTGAATTGAGTTATGAACTTTATTCGAGTGGTTCTAGTTGTCTTAATCGTGTATGGGTAACAAATATATGAAATAAGTAGAGGTATAAAAGCAATGTAAAGGGGACATATCAAAGCTCCCACCCTCCTTCCACCTAAAATTAATATCTCTTTTATTTGTGTCTGCAACTTCCATGAACGCAAACTCATGCACCACAAAGATGCCTTCTGTCGGTCTCTTTCTCATCCTCCAATGCCCCTATCATTTACACTTTCTAAACACACCACCCTTATGGCATGGGTTGAGTTGGATCGTCCAAATGGTTCGAATCATTATTAAGTATATATTAAATTGAAAAAAAGAAAATATTACGCCTTATAAATAAAGAAAAATAAAGAAGTAAATAAAATGGGAAAAGAAAAACAAAAGGGAGGCAATTAATTAAAAAGGGTAAATGATAAAAGTGGATTTGAAGAGGTAAGAGATGGAGGAAAGGTGGGCATGTGAGAGGCAACAACAACATGGCTGCAATTATGGGATGCTTTCTGCAACTCTTCTCTATCTATCTGCACCTTCCTCATCTCAAGACACTGTTTTTTATAATATAATATATATGATATCATCCTTAGTGTTGAAGATTTTTGGGAGAAAGCCTTACTTTAATTTAATCGAGAGGATGATCATGGATTTATAAGTAAGAAATACATCTCTATTAGTAAACTATTATATACTATTATATCAATGAAAACAAAAAATAACCCAAACGGTAAATTATCATATCATTGTGGAAGTTTACGGTTTCTATCACTAACATGCCCCGTTTTTCTAGTTGCACCCCGTTGAAATCTCAAGGAACCCACATGATTTATTTTCAAACCTCATCTTTATCGCTTCATTTCTAAGAAAATTTGTGAGAAAATAAGTCTAATTTTCTATCCATATACTAACGATGACTAAAGTTTAATAATATTAATGCTCGAGTGTTTTTTTTAAGCAGTATTAGATCTATATACTAAAAAAAAATGATATTTTAATTTTTTTTAAAAAAAATTAATAGAGTATAAAAGTATTTTTAAATTAGTTTCCCAATATTATTTATAATATTTACACAGAGCAAATATAGAAATTATCAAATCAATTATATAATGATATTATAATGATTTGATAGTTTAACTTATTAAAAAAATGAGCTTTCATATAATATTAAATTAATTAATTAAATAATCAATTAATTAACCTTAAAAGCTCCAAAATACTATTTAAGATACGCTTCATTCTTTGTACTTGGATTTGGGGGAGAGAAAAATAAAATAAAAAATAAAATAAAATAAAGGAAGAAAAGAAAAATTATAAATTAAAGGATTTGAAAAAGGGAAAAGTTATTTACGGCCGCAAAATCTTTAATCCGTTGTACGGACACCCATAAAGAGAAAAAAACTACAATATTTGGAAATCTCAATTAAAAAAGGCTTTTTTTTTTAATTAAAAAAACCATTTAATTTCTACAAATATTTTAATAATCATATCTTTATGTTGGATATTATAAATTTATTTACAACTAGAGAGAGAAGGAGAGATTTTAATTTGGGAGAAAAGTGACCAATTTTTATAATTTAAGCCAAAGTATGAAACATATATTAAATTTTATACCATATATTAATAGATTATACGTTGTGTATAAAAATAAAGTTTAATTTGTAAATAAATGAAAAATAAAAAGATGTCAATTGGGCTAATAGTCTTGAAAGCCCAATACGTTATGGGCTTTAAACACCGTTGAGTTCTTTTAACGTGGCCCATGCCCTCAATTATGGATAAATTCGTAACTTCCTTTTTATTATTTTATTTTATTTTATTTCCCACACCCATAATTGGTCCCACTGCCACCATAGTCTCGTGAACGTCACGTGACCTCCCCATTTTTAATCAATATTGTCACGCTTGCAAGGGGGTACTTCTTTACTCTATGCTTTCACACCATATAACATAATATAATTAAACAACACCTCGCAACTTTCATTCACAAATCCACTAAACAATTATAAATTAAAATATCGATTACATCATAAATTCTATTGAAAATTAAAATAATTTTTATTGGCGTAAAAATATATGTGATGTTAATAATTTAGGGTCGTAATGGAAGCTTAGAAGGCAAGGCAACAATATTGCAATTAAGCACGTGACAGTTTGCTTGAGTTACACGTTTTCTGAATTTGCTTATATCTTTTCTTTCATTCCTTCAGTAGAGTAGTCTCACGTCACCCGTCTTCTACCATCTTCTTCTCTTACGGGGAATCAACACCCTCCATCTTGTTAGCCTCAGACGGTCCATCACTCCGTACGTACGATAACGCCCCAGTGCTCTCTATCACCCAATCCCAACCCCAACCAACCATAGCCTGCCACTTGGACAAGAAAGAGCGGAGGTGGAAGCTTGCGTTGATCACGTGATTGAGAGGGGAAAACAAAACATGGTGAGATACGGAGAAATCTGCGGCGCCATCGTTTTTTCGAATTTGGCGCCACTCCCATCATCGACGGTCAAAAAGCCGTGCCGTCGTCCACGCCACCCGCATATAATGGCGGGACTTCCTATATTTATTTATTTAAATAATATATATATATATAAATATAAAGAAAACCTCCACTGGGACCTACTACCTCCCTCGTCTTAGCTGTTGACTACCTGTCAGCTCTTCTTTTCTCAACCCCCCACCAGGGGTCGGGTCCTTCAGCTTGTGGGCCCCTTTAATTAGCGGGAACCAACCTAGTATTCTCCCGCCAACTAAATTTCTTTTTATTATTTTATTATAGTTTCTTGTGTTGAACCCCAGCCACGTGTCATATTGTCCGGACACATAACGGCCGTGTTTCTTTCGTTATTTCGCAATTAATTTCAAGAAACCGGAATGCGCGCGGTAACGTAACGGACCCACTCTTCTCCACACGTCGGATGCAAAACGGGGCGTTTCGGGGATGTACTTCTTCCGTCGAGCCAATCAAAACCTGGCACGTCGAAAATGAAAGCTGTGTGTAAGATTACGAATTTACCCTCGGAAAGGATTCATATTTTCAATTCAAGTTGTAATTATATATTTATTTTTATCCATATGTCCTTTTTAATATTTAAATTTTATTGGTAAGATCAAAGAAATTAAATAAACCGGGCAAGAGGACGACAAGGAAGGGGCCGGGGGGGCAAAGAAAAGGCGGTGGTGTCACGTGGGGACGTCATTAGCAAATCCAACTTAATTAGGAAGCTAAAGCGGGTCTTGAAGGGAACAGTGGGACCCATTCATACCACGTGGACGATCCCCACCATCACCTTCAATTCTAAATCCGCCACGATTTATTTTCTTATTTTGGTACCGTACCGACCCCCCCCCCCCCCCC